TCCTCCTGTTGGTGGCGGTGCTGATGTACACCCCAGCGTTGTTCTGGAGATTTTCTGCTGCTCCACTCCTGCAGTCAGACCTGGGCTTCATCATGGAAGAGTTGGACCGGTGCTACAACCGTGCTGTCACTCTGGCCAAGCGCTTGTCAACATCAGGGTGTCTCTCAGCAGAAAGGTTGTGTTGCATGACTTATAATGACATATAATTTAATACACACCGGCTCCAAACTGTGACATATTTGGTGATCTTGGAGGCAAAGCATTTTATATCTAACTTTTTCACCATCAAACTAAAATGTCCCCAAAAGTATTCGTAATGAGCTATCATGATCTTCAAGTTTCAATTTACTTGAACGCTGGCCTGTTTAGTTGAACACAACCCTGAGTTACTCAAAGGAATTGAAGAAAGATGCATGAAAATCTTCTTTTAGTTTTTGTAGCCATCTGCTGCCATCGTTTTTGTAGCCATCTGCTGCCGCCTAGTGGAAGTGTACTTAATTTTTCTGCCTGCCACTCACGTTGACTAACAATACACGAATCAGTAAATAAATAATAGTTTTACATCCAAATAAGTGAAATGGGATCCCTGACATTGCATCACTTAATTGTTTAAATGCTGATTTTATTTTTACAGATAAAGCTTTTTTACATCTTTATTCCAACTTTGGGACTTGTGCTTTCTTCTTCTTCTCTGTTTGACCAGTGATCCTACTGAGGGCTGTTTTAATTACCCTCTAGTGGAAAAGTTTCTGATGACAAAGCGCTGCTCACGGACCATGCTGCTGTATTATCTGTTGTGTCGTGGCCTAACATTTGTCACGCTGGTGTGCGCCTGTGTCTACCTGGCTTACTACCTCCGCCGCGCCTCCGTCACTGATGACTTTCAGTGCAACCTCCGCGTCGGCCTGCTGGCCTCAGACCCCAGTGTCCCTGAGCAAGTGCAGTGCAAGCTCATTGCTGTGGGAGTCTTCTCTTTGCTCAGGTATCTGTGGATATATGGTTTATATTAAAGTGAAGTCACTAGATGGCAGCA